AACAACTGTGAGATGTTTCCTTCATGTTCAAAAGAGAATAGTCCAAATAAGCCCAGATGCAGATATTATTCTGGATCCAGGAACTCCAGCGTGATGTGGAGAAAATGTTGTTTGCTGGTGGATCAAACCAGCAAAAAACATTTTGCTGGTTTGATCCACCAACAAATGGTGGGTTGAGCTGTTTTCTCAGATAACTGAGTTTGGGGACTTTCTCCTGCTCGCCACGTTTATTTAATCCTTCTCACCTATAACTAAGCACCTTACATATGAACGCTCTGTGAGCTCCTGTCTCCACATGAAACGTTATAAACTTGCTAAAATTTCCATCAACTGTTGGACCACTCTCTCTTCAAACATCTTTGGATAAGATAAGAAGTCGCAGTAAAACTCTCCACGTTCCTGTTCTGCTATTTTCATCATATTTCTCAATACCAAATGACAAGTCACCAACTTCCTATTCACCTCTTTTGGCCTCCAAACAGTTCAAGTTTAAATAGTGCAAAAATTACAAAAAAAAGCCTTGCAGGGCTTTTAACCTATGAATCACACGATCTTCTGCAATCTTTGACATTAGACTGAAGGCTAGATAAATGAAATTCTCCAACAAAGCCGTTGTTGTGTTTTACTAAATATGAATGTAATCCTCTATACAGCTCTTAATTCCTGAAATAGCACTTGCTACTTTCACGCCTTTTATAATTTAACACAGATTTTAAAGACAAAATCATCATATTTTCATGAGCAAACAGGTCAAAGCACCGGTGAAAAGATGCCCCGATGCCCTTTTGGGTTTTACTTGCAGCTGCTTGTTGTTTTCTATTCTATGAAGCGGTTATGGAAACACAAACTCCGCACTACTTTGAGGATTCCCACATCTTCAGCCTTTGTAAGACATGTTTAATGCTACTGTGCATTAAATTCAAGACCAGTTTTATAGTTACCAAAACAGAAAAACCAACAACAAGTCTCCAGATGTTCAGCTCTGTGAGCTGTTAGGTGTCCCTGTTATTACCAACAACAAACTGCTCTGAGATGTTTTGGGCTATATCAGCTGCAAACTTGCTGTCTCGTCAGAAATGTTCTGGACTAACAGACTTAGCAGAAAGAAAAATAGGGTTAAGTCTATTTTATTGCCTCCCATTGGGGGTAACACCAACATGACCACACATGCACACATGAAACAGGCACACATTAGTAAGTAAAGATCTCAATTAGCTGTTTAATTCACAAAAGGAAAAGAAATTCATATAATGCCCATGTTTACACAATGAACTTGTACCTCCTTCAAGAAACCGACAGAGTTCGTGGGCCTGTCCACTCGTGCTTTATGGGAGGATATATCAGAGTTACCTGTAACTAAACTACAAATAACAGTTTTCTCTGAGGTTTCCACAACACACCGGTTAGTCTGGAATCTAGCACAAGGATTTGTGTACAGAGATAACAAAAAAAGGTGAGCTAATGCATGTCAGAAAGGCTGAATTTAAAGGGACTGCTGGTATTTATACCACATTGATCTGGCCTTCTGATTACCACCCACTTTACGTCCCGAGGAGCAACTGTTCACTGAGCTATTTCTAATAAATGAATCTTAAAATACTGATATTAATACATTAGTTTTAGGTGAACAGAGGGCAACAACATGACTGCTCACTTTCTCAAGGGCTCCGTATGTAGAAGTGAATTTCCCCATTTACATTCTCCACTGACCTTTTGGAAAATCCTAAATAGAAGATTTTTAAAGTTTGAACCAACCAACCTGCTCCGATTTGCATCATGAACATTAAAGATGTGATTTGGGAAAAAAATTGTACAAAACCATGTGCATAATTACTTTTAACTGTGAAGGAACAACTCATTACATAAAGGACTACAAATCCCAGATTCCAGCCTTCTTGAGGTTATTCCTTTTCATTATCGTGGTGTGTGCAGTAAAAATAACCTCGGACCGATATGCTGCAGAGCTTCATTCCCGACTAATCACCGCTCTTGCAGTTTCTGAAGTTTTGCGTTCACTAAGTGACCCGACGTGCACTGGTTTAAACATTTCCATGGTAACAGCAACCTGCACCAATCAGTCGTTATTTAAATTTAGAATTGTGGGTCAAACAGTTCTTCTTCATGACATTGCAAATAAAATGTCTTTTTTTTGGTTAAAACACAGCTGATATCGTATGGACGTGTGCTTTCTACAGGCGCGCCTAGCATCATTTCACAATATTTCAGTCCACTTCAGGTGGTTACAACATTATGGCTCATTATCAAAATTCCTGTGGAGGACGTGAACTGGATTTTTACTTCCAGAATCTCACTGTTGTGCTCTATAGACTCAGAAGCTTTAAGAGTTTTGAAAGATCTGCAGGACCTGTGAAAGCATTGCAGAACAATAACAACACCTGTTGAAGAACACCTGCATGAAAATGAACTAATAAAGCAGCTGTTTCCAGAAACGTCAGCAGCTGCTGCGTAACTAACGGACAAAGCAAAACAGCATCACTTACGAGAACAAGTCGAACCACTGTTGCTTGGTGACAGCTTCCTGTCTGAGCAGCTTGAGGACGATGGGCCGCATCAGATCCCACTTGTCCTCAAACTGCAGGGACCCCTTGTTCTGCAGGAGAGACACGGGATGGGTGGGAGTGGGAGGAAGAAGAAAAACAGCCATGAGAACAGAGGCGTGAAGACAGAAAGCAAGACTAGGCAGACGTACACAAATACAGACAAACGACCACAGGCCAGTGGCTGCAGTGAAGTTTTTAATATTTTTACATAAGCAAGACTTTTAAACACTCGTGTGACACCTGTGGCAACATTTGCTGTTCAGCTGCACACATTTATATAAGATCTGGAAGAAGGAAAAGACGACTTTAGAGCAGAGGTTTTCAAACTTTTGTGATAAAGTCACAGCAAAGTGCAAATCAGTGTTTGAACACACACCTGTATTTACATCTGTGCAAACTTAGAGACACTATAAGGAGGACTTATTGTATCAGAACAATATAGGGTTTAACCTTCGTTTATTCAGGCGAGAGGGATTTAAAATGGCACAAAAACAACAGCCACACAGAACCACTGACTGCAACAGAAAGGTTCGGGTTCATTTCTTAACTTAAAGACTACCACAGCCACCAGTTCTTTCAGCTCTTTGTGTGGATTTCTAACAAACTGAAAAACTTTGAGCCCCAACTCTGTGCTGACTTTGGGGACAAATATGTGTTAAATATCACGAAAACAAAGGCTTCACTGATTACGGATTACACAGATAAGAGGAAACCAACCCAAGCGTGTGAGAAAAGACAACCACTTAGCTGTACTTGCATTTTGTCTTCTCTTTTAAAGAGCTATTTCACCATTCCATTTATTTGAGCGGAATAAATAATTATAACGTATAATAAATTTCATCATCTTATTCTTTAGGAGCAGATGATCCACTCTAACATTAAAAAAAAAGCTTCTTTTCCCCCCCCAAAAAAGTAGTAATTATTTGTTAAAAAAAACCCCAAAAACTTAACATTCATTTTGGACACAAACCTTCAATGTGTGTTTTAAAGACAAATTCTGATCTATAATTATGTCTTAATGCATGTATGTTGTGATCATTTTAATTGAATTCCCTTCAGCAGTTTGATCTTAGTAAGATTAGGTAACATTTAACCATTTGAAAACAGCATGAACCTGGGTTTGTCGGCATGAACCTCCACTAGCATGCAGGCTGTTGTCATCACCTAATTTATTTCATTTTGCTCAGTTTCAAACCATCCACCAAATGGTTTTCCAGCCCTCTGTGAACATTTTTTTTTTCTTTCTTTAGCTGCCGGGTGATCGGTGCTGGTAGTTAGCTGTGGTTTGAGCCACAAGTACTTTATATGCAATCTTACACAGTAATAATAAAATATTGGTTGTTTTACATTATTTGGGAACCACAGATTTAGAGTACTGGAGCACTTCTCATACTCTTTCTTCATATCTGCCCATCTAACACTTCATTTAAGCAATCAAAGCAAGGTTTTTGGAACAATGACTCGATTTTAAGCACTCTGCAATGTTTAAGGACATTCATGGACTTTGATACATTTCAGCACTTTGTCACATTTCTGTTCAAATGTGCAGGGCTATGCTCACTGTATTTAAGCCAGGCTGTTTTAGAAAGAGGGAAAAGCTCCCGAACTCAATATTTTTCCTCTTGGCCTTTTCAACAACCTCTGGACCGTAAAATCAGAGAATTGTGGTGCAGAGAGAATGCTGCTCATCCTCTGGAGCTCATAATCTGACACAGATCTGACCAATTTACGCTCCTATCCCCACCTAAATCCATGAGCTCTGGGTAGTGACAAAAGAATGAGATTGTGGATACAAACGCCGGAAATTAGCTTCCCCTGAAGAGTGTATGAGCTCAGCCTTATGGACAGGGATAAGGTGAGGGGCTCTGTGATTTAGGAGGCACTCAAAGCAGAGCTCCTGCTCCTTCACACTGGGACACACTGGAGAGATCAAGTCTGCTTGAAAAACAGCACGTTTGTTAGCTCATCAAGTCTCCCAACAGTGTGACAGCAGTTAGGGTCAAGGGTCAGATGGGAGGGGAGCCGCCTGTCGATAATTATGTTCAGCACCGACCTGACCGCCTCTGTCATAGGTAGCCCGGTGTGTTATTAACGTTTGCTGCTGGAAGACATTATGTTTAATGGAGGCTTTTGTAGATTTAGCAGGTTTCGGTTGCAGAGGGAGGGTGTCGGTTTACCGGCTGTTAGATCGCTAAAACCAATTAAGAATAAAGACCTGGCCAAAAGAAACGTATTTACGGTTGAGCTGCGGGGTTGACGCGATGTCCTGTCGGTTGATTTTCTCCCTGAACCGTGTTTCCCTGGCTCCAAGCTGGCTCCGGCTGTCGGTTCGTCGTCGCCGGCTTGAGGTGACCGGCTAACGGCTACGGTTTGGCTCGAGTTAAGAACCGCAGGAGACGGGCTCGGTTCTGCTTCTGCTCTGCTGGAGCCATACATGAATACCGGGCCAAACGGACTCTGATATTAACACCGGACAGACGACAGCGGTGACAACTGTGACTTCAGGCGCACCTATTTGTACATTTAATCCGTTTATTTAAAAATTAGCGCGCTTTTATGCAAAACACGGCACCGACAGCACATATCTCCGTTAGAGGCGTGAACACACACTGAAACGGGGAGACTGAATGTGCGCACAAGCATAGGAAATGCGATATATTCGAGAGCTTCTTACCTTTAACAAATTAGACGTCGCCATGTTTCTTCAACTTATCACCTCGCAGAATCTCGCGAGACTCCTGCTGGAGCCGGCTCAGCATTAGGTAATGTCAGCCCGCACAAAAGGAGCGTTTTTACTGTGAAATCTTCCCAGGAACCTTATTTCACACACACACGAAGGGGCGGAGGGCTTGTTCTCGTGGATCACGTGTCACAATTAGTCCTAAGAAGTGCAACAATAAAATTGTGTAATAACATGGACTTATAACAACAACAACAACAGCATTAATAATAATGTTGACTCATCTCTTTTGTGGTTGCTGTATAACTTTTTGGAAAGACTTTGAAAAGGATTGGGATTATTATTTTAGGGTGACATTGTATTAATAACCTTTTATTGAAATAGTTTAGAGGTGGTAAATATTTATATGCTATACTGTCTGTGTCATGCTGAATATTGGAGAATGCTTTTTATATCTCATTTTAAATCTTGTTCCAAACTGACATTGAGTTTTATTCTTAATCTGAAATTTAATTGTTATGTATTGTTTATATGATGGTATGTTGTACATGTGTTGTATGATCTAGAGTTTCTTTTTTTATTTGCTGTTATTTGGGATGGTGGGGATGAATGTTCACTCACAAATAGTCTTTCAGCCCTGTTGAGATTCTTTTGCTTTTCCTGCAGCTGATGGGTGGAGAGGTTTAAAGTAAATATTATTTATTGCAGTGATTTCTCTATCTGTATTCTGCTTTACTAGATGATCTGGATTCATATGCAAACCATTTATTTACTATGAGATTTGCTTTCATTACAAACATTCACATGCTCACAGTTTTCAATCATTTTTTGTGTAAAAATTGAGTTTTGGCATCACATTTACAACAGATCTTTATGCCACACTTGGCCGGTTTAGCAGGGATGTGTTGCTGAAACTGCACCTGCCCCTGAAAGCTACCAACTGTTCATCCACACAGAAATCTGTTCAATGGAGAGAGTATTTGGGTAAAAAGGCTACAGACTATCCAAATATCCCTGAAGGCTTGTTTTGCCA